GAGAGAGAGAGAAAGAGAGAGAGAGGGAACATCAAGAGTCGGATGCTTAACAGACTGAGCCGCCCAGGCATCCCCCCTCCCCCGCCCCCAAGTCTTGATTTGGGCTCAGGTCATGAGCTCATCGTTCATGAGATCGAGCCCCATGTCAGGCTCTGCACTAACAGCACCAAGCCTGCTTGGAATTCTCTCTCTCCCTTGCCTTGTTCTCTCTCTCTCTCTCTCTCTCTCTCTCTCTCTCTCTTAAAATAAACAAACTTTTTTTAATTATAAAATTTTAAATTTAAAAACTACGAATTTCACCATGAAATTTTTAGGAAATCAATTCATGCATAAATTTCAGGTGGATTTCCACTCTGACACCCCCTCCCCTGCCCCTTTCCTCCTTCCCAGCCCAGACAGTTAACCCCGCTTCACTTGTGGAGGATCCTTCTAGACCAATTTATATTCAGTCACTAAGATCTCTCTTAAGTCACATCTGCTGATTTACGGCTGAGTGAATTCACCTTCTGCATTCTTTTATGAAACATATTAATCAATGTCCAAGGAATATGATGGATACTTACTAGTGAGGTGTTTTCCTCCTATTCACCCCACGGACTCTCTTATCACTAGTCCATTAGGTTGTTTACCAAGCATGAGGTGTCTCCCCCACACTTAAATACAAACTGCTCTATTTCAGTTACTAAAATAGAATTGAAATGTATTTTACACAGCATTTACTTTAATCTCAAATTGCACAATCATTCCAGAAAACAAGAGAAAAACCTATATCAGGTAAAATGTTATGTATTCAGTATTCTAAATGGTTTTCAAAACATTTTAAATTTGCAGCTGTTCTGTATCTGTCATGACATGGTGTGTCAGGTTCAGCCAGACACAAGAGAGGGCCAGAAAAACAGTTTATTATAGTCACGGGTCCTACAGAGACAGCGTCCGGGCACACCACCAGGGGGTCATTGGTGGAAGAGCCAAGGGGGTTGACTCAACCAAGCAGGTGGAGAAGGTGGAGGATGGACGAGGAAATGGAGGAGGACCTCTAGGCAAGCGCCTTTTTTGAGGGTCAGGGTGGAGTACACGGGAGACAGTGAAGGGGGATTCCACTGGCGCATCTGAATATCCCGAGGTCACAGTCAGGAAAGGCAAGACGAGGAAGTTGTGGCAGGGCCCAGCCTTCAACTGATGCACCCAGTCACCTGGGTGGGGTGTTCGGACCCTGGTTGTGGAGATGTTGAAGCAGCAGCAAAATATTAACTTTTAAAATTCACAGGATAGCAGACCGATTTTAAAATATCCATTTGTGCATCTTTTTTGATATGAAAAATGATGCAATTTTTCTATCAGAGGAAACTTAAAATGAGATTTCAGCAAGAGTATATGTATATTTGAAAATGTCAGTGTCATTTGCACTGTAATTTGGCCTTTTCTGATACTTATGAGAAAAATACATTTTTTAATATATGTGTTCTTTTCTCAGAGTTGCCTGTTCGTTTACATTGCCAAAAGAAGCACTGAGATTATTATAATTACCTTTTTTATGTTCTACATGTTTAATTTTTTAAGTTTTATTTTCTATTGGTTTTAGGAGTCTTTCAGTAAAAGATACTACAAAAATGAAAAGGCTTACATTTTTTATTAAGAAGCGTGATAAGGGGCTCCTGGGTGGCTCAGTCAGTTAAGCATCTGATTCTTGACTTTGGCTCAGGTCATGATCTTACAGTTTGTGAGTCTGAGACTGCTTGGGATTCTCTCTCTTTCCCTCTCTCTCTGCCCCTCCACGGCTTGCTCTCTCTCAAAATAAATAAACTTAAAAAAAGTGTGATAAAAATGTTTTCAGTTCTTAAGTTTGGATACATGCTTGGTAATTTATTCAGGCAAAATTAATGCAAACATACTATATTTTTTCTAAGAGATTTACATTCTTTATGTTTAGATGTAGTATTTATTTTCTCTAAGATTGAAAGCTAGAAATGTCTTTTAAGACTTCACCAAATCTCCAAATATTTTAGTACTGCATATAAAATACCACTTCTCCCAGCTAATTCATCATTTAGTGTTATCATACATAAGCCCCTATAAACTTATCCTATAAAAATATTTGCAAACATAATTTGCAAGCTCCTTTTCGCCAATAGAAACCTCTGGTTATACTTTATATACTAAGGCAAGTTGTGTCATTAAATTGTGTGTATTTTTGACATTTGTGGAGGAAATTTAGAAATGTTAATATTTCTTTGGAATCTTATGAGACAACATACTTAATAGTATGAATTGAATTAGTAAGACTGGAAAAATTTTCATCTAGGACAACAGTCTTCTGATACTAAATGAATACTATGATTGATTTAAAATACAGTGTCTGGTTTTCATTCAGTGTTTTCCTCAGATGCTTAGTTTTTAATATTGTTTTCAAAATTCCATTTGTCTTTCACTAATGCATTTTTGCTTATACATTTAAGAAGACCGTTGCCTATCTTAAGGGGAAAAAATGGCTGTCTTGATGTGTGACTATTCTAAATTATATTATTGATCCTAATAACAATTTCTGTGTTTCCAGAGTGTTTCTCAAGTGCGTAACCATTTCAGTTCTTGATCATGGAAACTGAAATACATCTCACAGCTGTTATTCCTGCCTTGTTGAAACAACCATGCCAGGAAGATGGTGACTCAGTAAGGTGCTCTACATCATGAACATATTTTCATGAACATGGACACATTCTTCTACTTTGTCATCCAATATTGAAACATTGCATCTGGAAGAAGGAATTGTTCTTGTGAGGAAGTTTCCCCTAAACTGTTGTTGAGTTTTCTATTATTTTGTTTTGTATCTATTTTTACCATGATGAAAAATGTTTTCATTGACATTAATAAGTATCATTTAAAACAGACAAGTTTGGGGGGACTGCCCAGAGATTTCTTACTGTGAAACATAGTCCGTACTGCTATTGCAGGAGAAATAGTTGATATTCCCCTTTATCCATTTTCCAGGAATTAACTGCTTCCTCAACATCTTCCAGCAGTTTTGCACTTATTTTTATGTCACTTATATGGATTTGGTTTACATAAATCAATCATTTGGAGTTACACTGTTGTACCAAAACTTTGCAAGGGCACCTTCGTCAGGTGGAATCCTGTGACCTCTAAGAAGTGACCTCAGTGTTCTTTCCTTGCTTCCCTTTTATGACAAGAAGTTTCAGTTGTATCTTGGAAAGTTCCTGCCCTAGTCCGCGAATAAGCCCCCCACTTCCCTCAAGACACTCTTTACGTACACAGGAAAATGGATTAAGAGACCATAAACTGGGTGCTAGAAGTAGGCATTGTTACAGCATTGTCCATAATTTCTAATTTTTTTTCAGTTTGCGGGAAAAATGCATATATGTTTAAAATCAAATACTATATGAGTTAATATCAATTGTTCCTACCAAATACGTGTTTTAGTTTTGTTCAAGTTCTTAGGTTATATATTTATTTTTTCCTGACATAGAAAGCTTTATTTTCCATTCATAGTAATATATTTGTTTCCAAAATAGCATCCCAATACTTTTTAGTAAAATACATACACAGACTTTAAGATTTCCTTGCAGGTAGTTTTACCTTAATAGAACTTCCTAGGAAAATAAAGCCAATCCCATATTTTCGAGTCACTCAAAATGTCTCTTTGACATAGAAAGAAAGCCAATGGGGTATTCAGTTACTTCTTAACCTTTGAATTTTGTATTTTAAAACATTAGTTTGCCTTAAAATTGTTTAATAATTATATGATATGTGTACATTTGTACAAATAAAACAGTATAACAAGATTTTTCTCTAAAAACTAGCTTTAAAATCTGCCCCATTCCTATGTATGTTCTGTGGCTACATTTTCATTCCTCCATATACATGGGAAAAAAACCTTTAGCATTCTCTACACAGAGCTCTCCATCTAGCTTTTCATTTCAGAATACATACAGTTTATAACCGTAGGTCAGACTGTAGAGATCCTCCTCACTCAATTTGCAGGCATAGAAAACTCTATTGTGCAGGTGAGCCATGATGTGTTTACTCGGCTCCTGTAGGTAGACCTCCAAAGTGTTTTCAAGTGATGGTGATGGTCACATACTTCATTGTTTTAAGACTTTCTTTTCGGGGCGCCTGGGTGGCGCAGTCGGTTGAGCGTCCGACTTCAGCCAGGTCACGATCTCACAGTCCGTGAGTTTGAGCCCCGTGTCAGGCTCTGGGCTGATGGCTCAGAGCCTGGAGCCTGTTTCCGATTCTGTGTCTCCCTCTCTCTCTGCCCCTCCCCCGTTCATGCTCTGTCTCTCTCTGTCCCAAAAATAAATAAATGTTGAAAAAAAGACTTTCTTTTTTCTTTTTTTTTTTTTTTAGGAGTTTTAGGTTCACAACAAAATTGAGGAAAGCACAGATATTTCCTTTGTATCTCCTGCCTCCCTACATGTATAGCCTCTTCCATTATTAGCATCACTTACCAGGATGGTACTTTTTTTTTTTTTTTTTACCAAGGATGACACTACCTTGATACATTATAATCACCCAAAGTCCAGAGTTTACTTTAGAATTCATTCTTAGTTTTGTAAATTCTGTGGGTGGACAATCCATTACTATAATATCCTACAGTAATATCTATTATTATAATATCACAGAGCATATTTTCACTGCCCCCCAAATCCTCTATGCATGCCTATTTATTATCCCCTCCCCTTCCTCTCCAATCCTGGTCGACCACGGATCTTTTAATTGTCTGCATAGTTTTGCTTTTCCAGAGTGTCACATAGTTGGAATCCTACAGTGTGTAGTTTTTTTTTGGAACGGCTTCTTTCACTTAGTAATACGCATTTGAGTTTTCTGCGTGTCTTTTCATGGCTTGATAGTTCAATTCATTTTAGTACTGAATAATGTTCCATTGTCTGGATGCACCACAGTTTATCACAAAATTTTTTTTGTTTTTCTTGTACTGCCATTCACCTGGCTTCAACTAAAATCAATGTCTCGTAGATATTGATGCGATGGCTGCCACCAAGTGGGAAATAGGAATCCTCTTCCTCACTCAGCTGGGAGTGGGAATCCTTGCAAACGCCTCTCTCCTGTGTCTTTATAACTTCACACTTCTCACTGGACACAAGGTGAGACCCACAGACTTGATTCTCAATCAACTGGTCTTAGCCAACTCCTTGGTGCTTTTATTGAGAGGGATCCCTCAGACCATGGCAGCCTTTAGATCAAAATATTTCCTGAATGAGACTGGATGTAAACTTCTTTTCTATTTCCATAGAGTGGCCAGAGGGGTTTCCCTCAGCACTACCACACTTCTCGGTGTCTTTCAGACCATTAAACTATGTTCCAATTTCTCTAGGTGGCTGGAGCTCAGAATAAGATCCCCAATGTTCATTGGTTTCTGCTGTCTCCTTTGCTGGATCCTGCATCTGTTGGTAAATATTTTTGTTCCTATCAAAATGATTAGTCCTATGAGTGGCAAAAATTTTAGTGTGAGAGTAAGTTATGTATACTGTTCCTCACTCAATCCAGACAGATTTCTCCAATTTGTGGTTGTAGCAATATTCTTCATAACTGATTTTGTGTGTTTGAGTCTCATGGCCTGGGCCAGTGGCTCAGTGGTCCTTTTCCTACTCAGGCACAAACAGCGAGTCCAACACATTCACAGCCACAGCTTTGCTCCCAGACCTTCTCCCGAGGCCAGGGCCACTTGTACCATTTTGATCCTTGTGAGTGCTTTTTTCTTCTTTTACTCACTGTCTTCTCTTTTGTTTGTTTGGATGACTCTATTTGCTATTCCAGGCCAGTGGCTGGTGGATGCCTCCATGTTTTTGTCTTCGTGTTTCCCAACATTCAGCCCTTTTGTGCTCATTTTCAGCGATACTCGCATCTCTCGGTTTTGTTTCATTTCTTGGCAAGGAAAACATATTTTCTAATCTGACTGTGACTGTATGACTCTGTTCTCTACATGAAATTAATCATTTCTTCCACCAGCTGTTAGTATTTAAGGGAATACAAATTTTCAGATGCTTGATATAAATTTATTATTCTGTGTAGAGTGGGGCAGTTAGATCCTGGAAACCACAATCCTATGAGTCCTAACACGAACGTTATTTATGTGTTTACACAAAGAGTATACTGTTTTAGCTTCATCAGTGGAAAAGTTGATGACATTCTGAAATAGTATAACAGAAGGAAAATTTTGAACTTGGGAAGTGGATAATATCACTCAGTTTGGGTATTTTTGAGAGGGGTGGGAGAGTCGTAAATTTTATGTAATATTAACTTTGCCATGTAAATAATTTTCAAGTATATAATTCAGTAGCATCAGGTAAATTTGTAATGCTGTGTACCTACTGCCACTATTTCCAAAGTTTTTTTTTGTAATTTCAAACATAAATTGTGTATCCATTAGGCAATAACTCCCCATTCACCCTTCACTCCAGCCCCTAGGAATCTCTCATCATTCTGTTTTTGTGAGCTTGTTTATTCTAGATATTAGTATTCATGGAACCATATCTTTATCCTTCCGTGCCTGGCTTATATCACTTAGCATAATGTTTTCAAGGTTCATTCATCTTATGGCATGTTTCAGCATTTTATTGCTTCTTACCACTAAAAAATATTCCATTGTTTGGGCATGCCACATTTTATCCATTCATCTATTGACGGACGCTGGGTTGTTTCCACTTTCTGGCTGTTGTGATTAATGCTGCTATGAACATGGGTGTACAAGTATAGATTTGAGTCCCTGCTTTCCATTTGTTGCAGTATATGCCCAGGAATGGAATTTTTTTTTGGTCAGATGACCTGTCTCTATTAAGCTTAATGAGAAGCCGTATTCTGCCTTCTCACTTTGCAACATTTTATATGCTCATAAGAAGTGTACAAGGGTTCACGTTTCTCCACAGCCTCGGCAACAACTTATTTTACCCTTTTGAAAATAGTGATCTTGGTAGATGTAGATTGGTATCTCATGGTGGTTTCATTTGTATTTCCTTAATGACCTATGGTGTTGACATCTGAAGTAATTTGCTCCTGCTGTTTCCATAGTCCTTTTCCTCATTTGTTTTCCCTCTCTTCTGTGTAACTGTATAAACTGTATAAACATGTACTGATACCTACTCCGCTCAGATGAAACTCTGCCTCCTTTCACTTCCTGAAAGCTCTATCCCATTTCTCAAAATGTCCCTCCCAGTCAGGTTTGCAGCACACACGTTAAATTCCTTTCCCCACTCTCTCTTCTGTTCTCCAAATAAAGTCAGGGAAACCCATCGTTCTTCCAGTGAGTAAACTCCACGCGGTAAAACAGATATCCAGCAGAAAGCTGACGCCCTCTATTGGAAATAGAGGTAATCTATAAAATGAGTGGAGGCTGTCATTTGGGGATTTTTCTTCCCTCTCTTTCAGCTCACAAAATAACTTCCCTAACTCAAGTGAGTCCTGTTATAGAAGGGGTTCCTCCTGCTTTACATAGGATTTTCCTTCTGCTTTAAATCAGGTCTGAGATTTCATGCTATATGGTTGACCCTTGAACAACACAGGTTTGAACTGCATGGGTCCAGTTATATGTGAATTTTTTCAATACCTACAGTACAGTGCTGTAAGTGTATATGTATATTTGTTTCTTGTTCATTACTAACATTTTTTTCTCTACCTTAATTGGAAGAATACAGTATATAATACAAACAAAAAATGTAATCAACTGTTTATGTTATTGGTAAGGATTCTGGTCAACAGTAGGCTATTAGTAGTTAAATTTTGAGGGAATCAAAAGTTATAGGGATTTCAACTGCCGTGATTGGAGAGGTGGAGAAAGTTGAGGGGCTGGGGAAATGGGAGTTGGGGGTGTCAGCGCTAACCCCTCCTCATTCAAGAGTTAAGTACACTCTGGAATTCCTGTGTGGTCCTGACAAAGTGGGGTATGGGCAGAGAAGAAGCCTTAGAAACCTGCATGAGGTCACAGAGAATTTGGCAGAAAACTAAGGTGCGGGGCAAGGCTGGGAAAGGATAGAAAACAGCTGGCAGGGTGCTGAGAACAGGCTGGAGGATGCACAGGCCTCACAGTGCGGGTAATATTAGAATCCTGACCAGCCAGAGGGGAGACACCCCCCTGAAACACTCTAGATGGTCAGTGGAGACCCTAGAAAGGCCGCACTTTAGGTGTAACAGGGTGCCCTAATATTTATTTATTTATTTATTTATATCATATATGTCATATCATCTATCATATATCATATGTATCATCCCTTAATCTGAAGAAAGTGCTGGGCTCTCACTGATCCCCCTTTCCTGAGGGAACCTGATTTATTCTTTCCCTCCGCGGACAGATATTCTCAGCGGTCAGTGGGTCAGGTGTGATCTGAGGTCGCATCTGACCGGGGACAGCGTGGGCTGGGCACAGAGGGGGTGGAACCTCAGACCCCACAGCGCCCGCTCCC